TAGATCATGGTTTAAAACATACTTGAGCATGCTGAAATGTTACATAGTAATTGTCAATTTCAATATCAGGGTATTCTTTGCTCTCTGTTTTTTGCCTTTTTTAAAAATATATGTTAAAAATTTTCTGTCAACTCCTATTTTAAAAGGAGAATGAAAATCGTTGTCACTTGAAACTAATTAGTGTTATTTTTAAAATGAATCCATCACATTTGAAAATACCCTTCTTTATGATAGGGTTTTAAAAAGTCAGTTCTGAGACCAATAGAAGAAAAATGGGAGAAAGTTTAAAACCTCCCCACAGACAACCTTCTGATCAGAACTGTGAGGTCTTTAAAAGCAATCTTGGGATTTGTCTGGGAGCAGTATTGAACAGATGATAAATTGAGAGAAATAAAGCTGGATAATCAAATTTGATAAGCTAAGAAGAGGTTAACTAGAGAAATCTGTGGTATTTTAAAAAATTTCCAGGGTGATTGGGGAGTGGTGGCTAAAATCAATATTTGGTATTTCATTTGTGTTAATACAAAAAAAAAAAAAAAACACAAGTTTGTTTTTTTTTCTTTCATTTAAAAAGTAGTCCTCCTACCTCCCAACCAATCTGTCCTTGTAGGTGGAGAAGGAAAAGAGAAATTTGTATCAGCTGGCTGCCTGCATGCCACCTCAGGAAATAGCATGTCAAATTCCTGCTTTATCAAGCCCCTCCTGCTGGCCTTCCTCCCATCCTCATTTAGTGAGTGTGCCAGATTCTCTGTGAGGTGCTGGGACTATAAAGAAGAAATGAAACAGGATTCCATGGTACAGTGGGGGGGGGGGTCTAACAAATAACACAAAACATTCTGGAAATCTCCAATCCTTTTAGTATGTTTAGAGAAACTACCTGCTGAAGGACTGGCCACAGCTTCACTGGTATCATTAACCTTTGTAGTTCATTTAAATCAAAGACCAGTTAACTTATTTGAAGTTTTCCCTGGTCTTAGAAATAGCTCTTTCACGGGTATACCTATCCCACCTAAATTCTTCTGAAAAATCACTGTGCCCCCAAAAGAGCCTTGTACCTTCTAAGCGACAGTAAAGACAGTTTTGCAGAAGGAGCCCACTTCCTTTTCTGTTCTTCAGGTCTTTTTCCCTCCTAATACGTCCATCGGTTTGATGTTTTCTCTTAAACACTGGGCCATGTGTGCTGTCCTAATCACTGGACCACACCAAGAATCTGCTATTTCTTTCTAAGTGCTTGCTTAATGTAACTGTTTAATATGTCCCAGTGTCACATTTGTCTGATGCGTGTTCTACAGGGAAACATAGCTTCTATTAACACAGTTCTGTTTGTTCTTTAACCTATATGCATTTAACCGTGTATTTTGGGGGGTCCAGCTCAAATTGGAGTAATAGGTCTTCAGTAAAAACACCCTATATTATCTGATGGATGCTTACCAAACTCTGCAGTTGATCTGGAAACAATTTTGCTGTGTGGGTTAAGTGTTAGCTAGGGGAAGAAGACCCTATCCAAGCAACCCTTGGAGAGGTTGTCTAGCAAAGCTTATGAAGTGCATTTTTCAAACTTGTCTAAGCAAAAATGATTGCTCGGCTATTTAAGAAATAATTGATCATATCCTTTGTCTTATCCTTCTTCTTTGTCACTCTTCTGATTTCCTGTGTGACATTTAATAACAAATCAGACTAACAAGGATGCATTTCAATTCTAACGGTTTATGGATCAGTTTATTAGGCCAGAAGGGGAAGGTGCAGTAAAGAATGTGAACACTTCCTAGGATCAGCATGGGTTATGCTAACTTGGGATGGAAGTCTGGTAGAAAAAAGCAGGATCTTTCAAATCAAGTACTCCTGAGTTCACATCAGGGCTCCACCGTTTACTAGCCCCATGTGATCCTGGAAGGGTACCATATCTTTCTGAGATTTTAGTATCTTCATCTGCAAAATGGGCCTGTCAGGATTTACCTTCACAGGATAGTGGATAGCTTCTAATTATGCATAGTGTTGCCTGGCACTAATTTTCCAAGTGTCTACTATAACTTCTTTAAAAGGCAGGAACTTCGTTCACATCAGGTCACCTAATCTTTCTGAGCCTCAGCTTTGTCATTTGTGTAATGGGAATTTGAACATAATATGAAAAAGCTCAAAAAATTTGCAGTCATATGCAGGTATAATGACTTATTTCACAAAGGCCTCCTGACTATCTACAGGAATATCAACTCTACTGTAGCTTTTTTTCAGGTCTTGTTGGTGCTTCCAAAACATTCACTTGGTATTACTATGACTACATATTAGTTATGTCACACAAATATTGCAGAATTAATGGAAAGAAACCCATATCTTATTCACATTTATAATCCCTACTATATTTTAAATATATTAAGGATTTGGTAAATGTTTATTATATAAATAATTATTTTTTGTTATTATCATTGCCCTCAGCTTTGCAAACTAATACAGCTAATAGCATCATAATGAATTTATTTCTACCTTTATTATTTCTGTAATCATTTTATTGTTTTAACATTTTATATGGAATATGTAAAACCTAAGATACCTTTCTTACTAACATCGCATATTTTAATACAACTGAATCATATTCACAAATGTAGGATGGCTGTGAGTTTTGGTATCAAAGAAGAAAAAAAAACTTTGAATGTTCCTACCTTTTCTTTTATTAGAAAAACTAAAAATTCAGGAGATTTTCAAATTTGCATAATATTTATGATTTTAATTTATTTTGTGTATACAAAGAGATATCACTTATGAAAGTATGCTATTGCATTCTATTTATAGTTGAATATAGTTGAATATTTAGAGAGATTTTCTCTTTTTGATAAAAAGAGCTTTTTTAACTTTTGAGGCATCTTGAAGTCACAGAGGAAAGAATAGCTTCCTCCAAACCTTTAGACTTTTTCTTATATGACCTATAAGACTTGAATAACTGGAGCAATAAGCTCTTTTCTGAGTTCTACAGTAATAAAAATGCCACTGTTGTCCATTGATTATCCATCTATGGGCCTAGTTTAGAGGAAGGGGATATACCAAACAATCAGCAGTCACTAAGAGGTACCTACAAGCAGATGAAGGGCTTGCATGCTTTATTTCATTTATTTAAAAAAAAGGGAAAGAAAGGAAAAAGGCAATATCTCTTGAAAACTGGAATTTATTTTGCTCTTTAGTTGTTCTTATTCTATTGTGGTTTTGTTCAGTGTATAGGAATTGCAGTAACCTGATACTGTGTTCATTTGCATCAATAACTTCTATTTGCATTCTTATAAACTAATTTAAATAAAGGCTGTGTATGTGACAATAGATATATATTCGTTATCTATTGCTGCATAACAAATTGCTCTGAACCTAGGGACTTAAAATAATAAATGTTTTGTTTGTTTATGTTGTTTTATCTCACCAAATTTTAGATCAGGAATCCAGGAGTGTCCTAGGTGGGTGGTTGTAGCTCAGAATCTTACATAAGATTGAAGTGCAGATGCCATCCCATGTTATAAGTAGTCTATGTGAAGACTTGACTGGGGCTGAAAGATTCACTTCCAAGATAGTTTGCTCACATGCCTGGCAAGTTTGAACTGGTTGTTGGCAGGAGGCCTGTTTCTTACCATGTGGACCTCTCCATAAGGCTGTTTTGACCATCCGTAATAACATGAGCAAAGGATCAGAGGGCAGGATAGAAGCTGCATTGTCTTTTATGACCTAGCCTTGAAGTCACACATCATTTCCATGATAATCCTGCTGGCTATACATGTTAACTCTGCTCATAGTGGGAGGAGAATACACAAGGGTGCGAAGACCAGGAGGCAAGGATCTTTGGGGGCTACCTAGGAGAAACTAGAATGTTTAATCTAATATTCACAAGTGTCCAGTGAATGTTCAGATAACTTAAAATTTAATTTTATCAAAAATAATATAATTACTGGAGTGTAGAGGTTTTCAGATTTTACATCTTTTATCCCAAATTGTACATGTTGACATACATCAATTATTGGTCCATTTCATTTGTATATAGATAGCAGTGCAAAATGTCTCTGCCCTCAAGGAAAGGCAAATATTTCATTATAATTATTCCAAGTATTACAACAGAGGTACATACTGAAGATGATAAGGTCAGGTGTTGAAGAACATGAGCTCTGAAGTCAGTTTGCCTGAGTTCAATTTCTGGCTCCCTTATTTATTAGCTCTATGACCTTGGACCACTTATTTAACCTTTCTATTCTTTAGTTTCCTTTTCTGATTATTCCCTTTTTATAGTTTCCCTTCCTCGGGGATTGTTGTGGGGTTGTGGGGATTTAAGAAACAGTACCAGAGAGTACTATTAGCCAGCCACTTGAGATTTTCTGGAATGATCAGTTTGGATGAGGGAAGGTTTCCAGGGAATGTGAGACATTTGAGGGAGACAGTTGTCTCTTGGAGGGTAAGTTGGAGTTTGGTCAGCACAGAAAGTTGGTGGAACCCGGGCATGAGATGCCAGCATGAAGGAGAGCCAGAGGCAGAGGAGCTGAGCAGTGGGTTTGAGGCTGGGGCATGTCATGTGGTAGCTTCAAGGGAATGACCAGAAGTAAGTTTAGACAGTGGCATGCAAGGATGTGAAGAGTCGTAGGTGGAGCCCCAGTACATTGTAAATTTTCTGAGATTATCTCAGTTTAAATCACAAATTTCTTACTGCCTCATGACTACTCTCACAATTGCTAGATCTTATGTCCATATTTGCAGTTAGGAAAATATTGTCACTACGTTATAGGCAAAACAAAAGTTTGAACTTTTTTTGTGGAGGCTTTTAAAAACGGTAGAATGGTAGGATTTGCTCTTTGTGTGTGTGTGTGTGTGTGTGTGTGTGTGTGTGTGTGTGTGTGTGTGTATTTAAAGTGGTGTGGGCAATGGGTTGAATAGTTAGGATGGTTATAGATATCAGTAGGGAGAGGACTGAAGCCTCACAGGAGACTAGAGAGGTGCATACAAGTATACAAGAGCCTGAGACCCTTGCTTCTTGTCAGTTTTGGCATTTCCCACAGGCATCCCAAGCACGTTCCCAGGACACTGGCAAAACCAGGACACTTCCCATCCATTTCAAAGAACCGTGACTCATCCAGAATTTTGCAATTATAAAAATCTAAAAAGGACAGATTTTAATGTTAGCATATATGTAAGTATCAGTTTGAATTATACATGAGGAAATAGGCACAATAATCTACTTGGCCTTTAAATTCCTGGCTCTAGAATTGATAACCTTATTTTATGGATAAAAGAAGATAATGATTATGTCAATTTTAGAAACTCCTCAGCTGCCCACTTCCCAGGTTCAAAAGATTGTTTTGATTCAATACATGCCCTCTTTATTGAATGGAGCACTGGGTGTTATACGCAAACAATGAATCATGGAGCACTACATCAAAAACTAATGATGTAATGTATGGTGATTAACATAACATAATAAAATTAAATTAAAAAAGAAAGATTTTTTTTTGAAAACAAAACTGAAAAGAAAGATGAGGCTTTAAAGAAGAAAAGACAGGTAAAAAATGAGATTTTTAATTTAGATAAATAAGAATCCCTTTGGCAGAGAGCTGGATTCCAGATGGCTTCTAGGCCCAAGGGTGGAAATTAGGGTGCTTAGTCTATTTAGCCTTTCTCATGTGGTTTTTAATTCATCTTCCAGTACTCTCTCCCAGCAGGGCTGACTCTTCATTGCTTTTTGGATGACATGCTCCATGGACAGGTTCTTTTACCAAGACACATGAGCCTCAAATATGTGTCTTTCTTTAGCTTCTTTAGGAGGTAGGTAGGTCTAGTTGAAGCCAGAAGGCTCTAACCCATCTGACATAAAATGATGAAACAGGAATTCCGTGATATCTAGTTTGCTTAAAGCTTATTTGTTTTCATGAGAATTTTAATGTGAGTGCTGCCCGCTTTTTCTTTGAAAACTTGGAAGCATGCACTAATGCACCTTTGCACTGCAGCCATAACACTATGTAAAAAATAATCCAGAAATGGGTAGTGTTTTTATACAACTATTAAGTTATATGAAATGTTAGTCTAATAATGAGACTGAGAGACAGTGTCTCCATTCAGGGATATAGTAGCCTTGCAGGGAGAGCCCAGCTATGGAAGGGGAAATTTTGGAGTAACTTACCCTGTCTTCAATTGTGTTTGAAATTTATATATTTTCTGATAGTTTGCATCAGATTTGGGCTCTTTCTCTTTACACTATTTCTAATTTGATATTTCATATTATTTCATAACTAAGATTTTAAGGATTGTAACTTTTTTCATATTTTCTACTCATAATAAAAGTAGTTCAGTGTCTTGGTGTGCAAAAAAAATAGTTGATGGAAGATGGTCTTGTTACTAAAGTAAACCTTTCTATAAATAAATGCAGAAACATCTGGTAAGGGCATAGTCTGAATGTGGCAGACATCTGAATTGCATCAATTCCCGCCTTGTGGCCAAGATTTCTTTCTTAGGCTTTCTTTATAACTAATGGCAGAGTTTCACATTCTCACAGCATTAGGCAATAGAATGGTCAAAAGAACTGGTGCCAAGTTACCCTTTTTCTTGGGTTAGCTGGTGGTAATAATATATACTCACCAAGGAAAAGTGTGGCATGTTTTTGTTTTTATTTTTGAAGACTGAAAACCTGAGATCTCTCCTTCAACGTCACTTCTAGGCCCTGGGTTTAGGCAGTTTTCCAAATGTCTGTTCAACTGCTTTCAAGAAATTATTGTGGTGTTGCAGGAAGCTTTGGTCAGGAGAATAAGGCAGCACACAGTCTTTCCTAGAACACCATGGGCCCATCAAATGACCTTTTTCAGAAACAACTGAGATTCTTTTTTCAATGGCAGAAAAATGCTAATTGAAACCAAACAGAAAACAGACTCACCCCACAAGTATTGTAGTTCAAATGAGTAAGGGGGAAGTCAGAGAGGAGATGAAAAATTCTTCTTGGGAAAACTTTTGAAGCTAAAGCTTATTTATTTGGTCTTTGATGATTATAAGTTAAAATGGGGTGGTTTAGCATTTTTAAGATAAAAATGAGCCAGGACTATAAGAACACTGTGTACCCTTTCAGGTGCCTGTGTACCTCTTCCTAGAATACCTGTCTGGTGCTCTACTGTTCCTCAAGACTACCTCGACACTCCTTCCACTTGGGGACTCCAGTGCCATAAGGTGAGTCGGCAAATTTGTACTCCTTGCCTATATCCTAGAACAGTATCATTTTTAAAACAATTTTTCAAAATTTTGGGAGGCTTTCAGAGGTTGTGTTCACTGGTGAACTCTCAAGAATCATCATTTGTAAGCCCTATGTTTAGATAAGTATAAAGTTTAATTAGCAATAGTATCTTTTGCCAGTGTAGTATAAACCCTAGGTTCAAATTTGGGTTGACACTAATAGCATTATGAAACATGCTTTAGATTTCAAATTTGAAGTCTGAAGCAAATTTTTGCAAATTAGTATGTCACCACTCTTAGGTTTCCCAAGCATTATTGTACTCATGCTTTAAATTGAGAGCCTCTTTTTTTATTGTTTGATTGATTGATTAAGTTTTTGTTTTAATTCCAGTTAGTTAGCCTACAGTGTTGTATTAGTTTCTGGGGTACAATATAGTAATTCAACACTTCCATACATCACCCTGTGCTCTTCAAAACAAGTGCACTCCTTAATCCCCATCACCTATTCAACCTATCTCCACCCCTCTCGCCTCTGGTAACCATCAGTTTGTTCTCTATGATTAAGAGTCTGTTTCTTGTTTTGTGTCTCTCTCTAATTTTTTCCCTTTGCTTGTTTTGTTTCTTAAATTCCACATATGAGTGAAATCAGATGGTATTTGTCTTTCTCTGACTTATTTCACTTAGCATTATACTCTCTAGGTCCATCCACGCCGTTGCAAATGGCAAGACTTCATTCTTTTTTATGGCTGAATAATATTCTATTTTAAATATATATATTTATTATGCACACCACACCTTTATCCATTCATCAATCGATGGATAGCAGCCTCTTTTAAAGCAGAAAAGTATTTCTAACAGTGAAGGTTAGAAGATCTCAGTAAGTCTGAAATAGCTTATAGTGTGAGCTTCCATCCCTTAAGTAGTGTAATTGGCTTCATTAAGTAAAGGGGGTCACAAAGTCTCTTGAGGTGGGAATATACAACTAAATTAATTTTCACTTGCTTTTTGTACATTTGATGTGTATCCTCTCTTGAACATTAAAGTGACTCATTGGTCTCAGAAGGGAAAATAATTTGACCTTGTTTGTAGTATGTGAATCACTTGTGAATAAACTGTTCACATTTTACAGGTGAATAAACTCTTTAAGGGCACCAGCCAGCATGCTGTCTCGGAAATTCCTTAGTCCCTCATTTGCACAAGTTATGTGCTTGCATTTTTGCCTCAATGATGATTTTCAAAGGTCTTACATAATTAATTCCCCCCTGAAATAAAAAAGTATGACCTTAGAGCTTTGTAGTAATTGCTAAACTATGTGGAGGGAAATGGATCCCTAAAACCACAAGTTGTTATCCTCACTCGTCCGTTTTCTTCCTGTAGACCCTGTTGTATTGCTTGTGGCATTAGCAAAATCCATGACTAGAAGGCCCCAAGTGTTGAAAGTAAAAGACAGTCTGATTCTAATCAAGCAATTTTGTTATATCCATGTAAGAGCTGAAAAATTCTAGTTAAGCCCTGTTATTTGTAATACAGTCTAAAGAAGAAAAGTATAAGGAACAAAATGTATTATGTAGTCCCACTTACTATAGTTCTCTCCATAATTGTGTCATCACTTAAATTTTAGATTTAGCTTTTATCACTGATAAAGCTATTCTGTAAATCTTTCTTTTCTTTACATTAATTATTTTCTATTTGGTAGGATTTATGTAAAAGTTATACCAAGAGGAACTGTGGTTCAGATTTAATGTTTAGAGATTGTGTACACTAGGGTTTGAATGTTTCAATTATTTTGTTTCTTTTAGAACACTGGTAGTTATCCCCACATAACAGGTAGGAGATGTAGGAGTTGCTTGGAGTTCACTGCCAAAGAGTTAATTTTTTACTGTTTCTTTTCAAATGTTTAGTATGCTAAAAATTAACAGCCTTTAATTCTTGACTTCAAGTGCATAGAGACTCCCTTAACATACTGCCTTGTTTTCCTTTTTTAAATGGAGTTTTGTCTGGATGTGGTAGAGCTATACATAAAACTGTTTTGCTCTTGGATCCAGTAATCCAGTTTACTCATTGAAAGAGGGTATGTGAGTTCCCTAAACCTTTTTGAATGAAGCATCTAATTTCAGTCATGTTAACTTTGATAGCAACAAAACCAGCTTTGAATTCTCAGTATTGGTACACTGTAAAGCTACTTAAATTTTTTTTTTTAATGGAGCAGCTTTAAATTTGTAATGTTTTACAATCAGAATATTTATTTCTACTAAATTACATTTTCTCCACAATGATGCAGTTTTTCCTGAGCCATTATTCTTTTAGGGAATGATAGAGAATAATTCACATTTTATTTATCACAAGGCATCTTTTCCTAGGTTTGTAAATTTGAGGCTGTGTGAGAACAAACTTTAAAACTATTTTATGTAAAAAAGATAGATTACATAAAACAAAATAAGATTTTGCAGATTATTTATTTACTTCTCTCTCTGTTCGGAATAGGACTGCATTCTTCTCCCATCCCCCTTTTCTGGTACCTTCCTATAAAAGGCATTAGAAGGAAAAGAATGATAAACAGGACTTAGCCCTATAATCTTCTTTCAAAACTGCCTTGTAAGTAATTTCCCATAGTTTCTGTAATGAAGCTTATGATGATAGTATAGGGTGCTTCTGGTAGTGGGGAGTAGTTTCAAAATACTTTTTCTTTTTTTTTTAATTTTTATTTATTTTTATTTTTCACATTTTTTATTATGTTAATCTCCATATATTACATCATTAGTTTTTGATGTAGTGTTCCATGATTCATTGTTTGTGCATAACACCCAGTGCTCCATGCAGAATGTGCCCTCTTTAATACCCATCACCAGGTTAACCCATCCCCCCAACTTCAAAATACTTTATTTTAAGCTGTGTGTGTGTGTGTGTGTGTGTGTGTGTGTGTGTGTGTGTGTGTTTTCAGGTTAGGTTTTCTGCCCCATGTAGATTTAATGGAAAATACTTTTTATTTGCTTATACTTGGTTTTAATGGTTTAGATGGGGGCATTTCTAAATAAAACTTGTAAAGAGATGTTTATTGTTGTTACAGGTAATTCATGTACACAGATTTTAGGAGGCTGGAAATGATCTTTTGGCAGAAAAACTTGGTAGAAGAAGGGAGGACATTTTCTGTAATTTAAGTTGTCATAGTAACCTGCATCAAACCTATACTTGGAATCCAGGCCTGAAGAATTTCAGTGACAATAAACATTCCAGTTGCATTCATCTTTTTTTCTTCTCTGAGAAAGGAGCCATCAATTGTGATCTAATTATTTCATTTCTGTTTTTAGAAGATGAGTAGCAGCTTGCATTTCTTACTCTTTGAAATTTCCCTGGCAGAGTAAAAATGAAAAGTTAACTGTTTATATTTGAACTTGGCATTTTCTCTCTTTTTTTTAATTATGTTATGTTAATCACCATACTTTACATCATTAGTTTTTGATGTAGTGTTCCATGATTCATTGTTTGCGTATAACACCCAATGCTCCATGCAGAACGTGCCCTCTTTAATACCCATCACCAGGCTAACCCATCCTCTTAGAAAACCCTCAGTTTGTTTTTGAGTCCATAGTCTCTCATGGTTCATCTTCCCCTCTGATTTCCCCCCTTCATCCTTCCCCTCCTGCTATCTTCTTCTTCTTCTTTTTTTTTTAACATATAATGTATTATTTGCTTCAGAGGTACAGATCTGTGATTCAACAGTCTTGCACACTTCACTGCACTCACTATAGCACATACCCTCCCCATATCAGATAAAGGGCTAGTATCCAAAATCTATAAAGAACTTCTTAAACTCAACACCCAAAGAACAAATGATCCAATCAAGAAATGGGCAGAAGACATGAACAGACATTTTTCCAAAGACATCCAAATGGCCAACAGACACATGAAAAAGTGTTCAACATCGCTCGGCATCAGGGAAATCCAAATCCAAATCAAAACCTCAATGAGATATCACCTCACATCAGTCAGAATGGCTAAAATTAACAAGTCAGGAAACGACAGATGTTGGCAGGGATGTGGAGAAAGGGGAACCCTCCTGCCTTGTTGGTGGGAATGCAAGCTGGTGCAACCACTCTGGAAAACAGTGTGGAGGTTCTTCAAAAAGTTGAAAATAGAGCTACCATATGATCCAGCAGTTGCACTACTAGGTATTTACCCCAAAGAATGAACTTGGCATTTTCTGATAACTGTATCTCAAACTATTTCAGATGACAAGATAGGTTCAGTATAATGGTTACTTAATAAAATATGAAAAAAAAACGGACTTTAATAAGGATTTGAAGACATTGCCACATACATTTGTGAACATGCAAGTTTTTAGTATTAAATGTATTGGAATCTGGTTTTCATGGAACTCTGATCTGGGAATGTTAGGATTTTCCTAATACCAAATTGTTAATGTATTTCTTTTATGGCATCTTGTACTTAAGCATGAATGTATTTAAAAAGGATGAGGTATCATTTTTATTAGCAGAATAAGTTTAATTTGAGAAATTTGTATCCAGGCATTTTTTAGATATGCTCTCTTTCACAAAGGACAGTAGAATTTTGTTTCTAAAGACAAAGCTTTTTTAGGGTTTGCTTCACTCTTTTGCTTTTTGCAAGATACTGATTACTAATCAAGGTAATTTGGAGTTAAAAACATTCTCCTTAAGCAAGGAACATTAGGAGAAATAAGGAGATAAAGATATGTGTGTCCATTCATTTTAGGAATCTTGGAAGATAAATTGGAAGAGTTTGTGACTAGTCTAAGTAATAAAAATAATACACAAAATTAGCTGCTATTGGATATAACTGTAGCTATTTGTAGATAAAAATGGTAAAATTCTTGTAGAAACTTTTCCACATATATATGAGACTCAATCAAATGGATAATTTTTTTAAAAACATAAATCAAAATTTGAATTTTAAAAAGTATAAGGTAGATGTAGAAAACCTAGATAATCCATTTACTGGGAAACTGAAGGAAAATATAA